GAGTTTAGTGAAATTACCTACAGTCCCTAATTAAACCCAATTGAATAGCTGCAGCTGTCCTTTAGAAAAATGAAAGCCAGCTAAATGTGAACTTGCATCTTTAAGGAACATATAAAAGTTTCTATGGGTGAAAGGAGAATACAGTAATTATCCCAGTCAATTAAATGGTGAGAATCAAACACATCCCTGCATTATGTGCTAATGGAATTCTATGTATTGTATTCATTGGAGTTTTCTTTAATCCCAAATCCAGTGTGCAGCATTTCGTCTGTGTCTCTCTTCACAGAAGCTACGTATGTTGTGACTGTAAGGTCACAATGTTAATTGGCTATTGAGTACTTAAAGTAGGTAGTTCTGTCTTACAAATTATCTGATGTACAAATGTAAAGTCCTCTGGTCAAGGTTATGGAATAGTTCCCAAGCCAGGAAATGATTTACTGAGCTAATGTGAGTCACCCCATTGAGGGGGGAAGTAGTGCTGTTGTTATTGATTTAATTATAGAGAGGAATGCTGATTCACACATCCACACTATTTAGTATATACAGATTTAAGACAGGGGAAAAATCCTAACCAAGATGGTTAGCTCTGGGGTGTAATGGAGAAGCAGGGATGGTGGGTGAGGGATTTGATTCAATTTGCATTTAAAGCCAAATCTACCAAATTTTCACTTCCCAAAACAATATGAGAACAGAAACACAGCCATTCATTGGAATTTGCACATATCTGAATTTTTCAATGCTGTTCACCAACCAAAGAATGTTTACCAAAAAAAATGCATGTTAGAGGAAAGAGTGCATGAAAGTCAATATATTCATGAAAATTACAAAACATGCATTGTATTTTGCTTGAAAAGAAATATGACCAAAATTGCATACCCAAATGTGTTTATTAAGAGAAATTTGCACTAAAATGCTGATTACTTTTCATGAGGATTTCATTTTTGAAAAATGTGGATTGCTGCAGAAATGTGGAGAACTGAATTAAGATTGGGGGGAAATGAGAAATTGAGAGAACTGAAAATCAACAGATTCTTCCATTCCTACAAAGTGAATAGAGCTTTGTTACACACACACACACACACACACACACACACACACAAGTTTTTCAGATTAAAAATTTACAGTCACATGTCCAACATACAACATAAAAACAAGATTCCAGGGAATCTCTTGGAATTCCCTTCTCCCCTTTGTGGGACCTATTGTTAATCATTTCCTCCTGCATCGTTCATAATCATCCAAATCTTTTATCTCTCTCTTGTATCCAAAATTCACCATTAAACTACAAGTGTTATTCCAATCCTACTAACGATTTTAACTGTTTACAATGGTCTTTAAGATAAGTTAGAAATTTCCCCCATTCCTTATTAAAATGTTGGTCTTCCTGTGGAGCTTTGTTACTTTCAACCAGTATGGTCCTGCACTGATGATGTAACTTCCTGGATCATGTGGAACACCTGATGCTGGGATGGATCCACAGTGTTGGCTTCTCCAATGGGCTCTTGGGATCCTGATGTTACCTATGTGAAACTGTCCTGAATGAGCCCCTACCCCCTGAAGCTAACATGCAAAGAAAGAGCCCCATGCCATCTAATGTTAGAAGCAAACATGCAAAGAAAGAGCCCCATGTCATCTAATGTTATAGAAGGACTATTCTGCGATTATTATTTTTTGTGGACTGTGTTTCTCAAGCTCTTTGCTTCCTCTTGGATCACTCTCCACTGTAGTTTCTAAAATGTGTAGGTTCATAACATTTTGAGTCGTAGCCCTGGGCTGGGATTCTCAGGCACTGGTTTATTATCCTCATTCTAAGGGGCAGCAGGCATTATCCTGCAGTCTGCATTTTGCACTTAGACACTGCAGTAGATAAGGTCATTTAGCTCAACCATTTAGACTGGCAGTTTCTATTGATTTCACGGCAGTGTATACATAATGCGGCACATATGAGATTGACTTGAAGCTTACAAAACCCTTTGACTTCTAAAGACCTCACAAACACCTTGCGTAGTTCAAAAGTTGAATGCAACTTGGGAGGCTATGTATAAGCAAGTTGTCATTTGGAGAATGTAGGGGGGCAGTACATGACCTTGCCTTATGCTGCATCAGGCTGTTTCTATCTTTATCCAAGTATTGCCTTTCCTTGATTTGATGCTTTTGAATTATGGTGCTGGAGGAGACTCTGGAGAGTCCCATGGACTGCGGGGACTTCCGGGTTAGCACCTCCGGCAATGGCGGATTTCCTCTGACCAGGAGGAATCCGCTTCGTGAGAACTAGGGTCTGGACCGCCGCGGCGAGGCGGAGACCCATTAAAAACCACAGGCGGGAGAAGCCTGTGGACGTGGGATTCGGCTGGCACCTTTTGCGCCTCCCCTACTCATGGGGAAACCCGGTTTCGGGGATCCAGAGCGACGTGGGGTGAATGGCGCGGTGCTTTGAATCGACTGCTTTTTTCACGGAGTGAAGCCGCATTGCTGTTGCCGGAGAGCACTGACTTTTTCCTGTGGACAATTGGATTTTAAACAACTGCCAGTGAGTAGAACGGAAAATTGGATTAAGAAAATTTTTAATTTGGCACCGAAGCGGGAAGGTCTAAACAGGAAGTCCGCCTTCCGCTTTTGTAAATAGATTGAAGCAAAGACATTGCAAGCTAGAGTCTGGAAAGTCATTTGTAAAGGACTAAATTTCCATCAGTTAAAATCACTAAGCCCCCCTTGGAAGCAGGAGAAGAGGGGGGAATCTTTTTTAGACTGTTTAAACCCATGGACTGCAAGACGATCAAATGTATCCATTCTTAAGGAAATCAGCCCTGAGTGCTCACTGGAAGGACAGATCGTGAAGCTGAGGCTCCAATACTTTGGCCACCTCATGAGAAGAGAAGACTCCCTGGAAAACACCCTGATGTTGGGAAATATGGAAGGCACAAGGAGAAGGGGATGACAGAGGACGAGATGGTTGGATAGTGTTCTCGAAGCCACAAACATGAGTCTGACCAAACTGCGGGAGGCAGTGGAAGACAGGAGTGCCTGGCGTGCTCTAATCCATGGGGTCACGAAGAGTTGGACACGACTAAACGACTAAACAACAACAACAAATTGCCTTTCCTGGTTTAGTCTTTCCAGTATCTAACCCTTTCCCCAATCTTGGTATTTGTGTCCTTATGGATAATTTTGCCAGGGATTGAATCTGTAGCCTTCAACAGGTGAAATGCTTCCTCTACTACTAAGCTATGGGATCTGTCCTAATATTTGTCCCTGATTTTTCAAGACAGTATTTCTCAGAAGCTCACTGTCTCTGCACTAATGTTGTAAACTAGGAATGGGGATGCTGGGGACTTCCAGATGTTGAACTACAGCTCCAATCACCCTTGAGTTTTGGTCATGCTGGCTGGAAGCTGATGGCAGTTGGAATCAAATAACATCTGGAGGGCCACAGCTTCACAATCTCAATTAAATATATCTGTATATATTGGTGCTCTCTCTCTCTCTCTCTCTCTCTCTCTCTCTCTCTCTCTCTCTCATCTCACTGTCTCTTAAGTATCATTAACTTCTGAGCATGAGCTGGGTGTGTTTTTCAAAGGTGGGTGTGGTTGGAAAGGATGAAATCACCCCTTCATTTGTGCTGTGATCCTGATTTAAATCAGGGGAGTGTGTTGCTTTCCCATAAGAAATAAGAGATACACCGGCAGCTTCAGGGTTTGTATTGAATGTAATGTATAGTTTGACCCTCAGATGACACATTCTACATGTGTGAGAGAATGAAAAAAATCCTTTTTTTATTATGGTGCCTGCCATCTGCAGTTTTTATAAGCACTTGTTTTAATCATATCTTTTAATTGGAGGCACCTTCTTAATTAATTTGTTGATTGAAAGGGTCTTAAATTGGTTAATTTATCTCAGGTTGATACATTTGCAGCCCTGAAACGAAAGCTTTTGATATACACCCCACCTTTTTCTTCTAATTTAACATTGAATGGATCCAAGATTTAGCTTAGAGAAAATCCCTACCCCATCCTTTTACTGTGCTATCAGGAATTTCAGACTTCATGGAGCATTGTGCATTATGCATACCCTGCAAGTGTCTCAGAACAAATGGGACATCCCATTTTCTTATGTAAGAGCTTGACGAAGGGTGTTTTCATTCTTCAAATGAAGCGTCATTTCAGGCTACAGAAGGACGTCTCTGTCTCAACTGAATGCTTTCCCAACAACAACCCAAAGGCTGAAGTAATATACCTGACATGCTGGTTTTCTATGAACAGGGATGCTTTTTTGTGGAAAAACTTTTAGACATTCAACACCACTCATAAACACACCAGCACATGAATGTCATAGTCCAGGAAAAACTTATTGTGAAAATTATAAAAGCTTAAAACTCAGTGGGATGTACAGCTTGATCTTTAATGCCTGTTTTCTCAGAAGTATATCCTACTGAATTCAAATGGACTCTGGAACACAGACTTAAACAGTTTTCAGTTTAACTGAATGACTTGACTTCTCTGAATCGCACTCCAGAGTTTTAATTACTTTAGGTTGCCCTCCCATTTCCCCACTTTCCTTTTTGTTCCTTATTGAGGATTTGCCCTTTCTTTTAAATGACTGGCTTTGTCTTCCATTGAATTAGAATACAAAACAGATACATGCCCAACTCTAAACATAAGTATAGTTAATACAATGCAGGAGTGAACAGTGCCCCATACCTAAAGTGCCTTTCTGCAATTATTACCTATTCACGGTTGCTTTATTCTTGACTGTTAGCATTAACGTTACTAAGAAGAAGTCCATCTCCTCAACAGTCCCAGGAGACCAACTTTCTGCTTTATTGCCACGTCAACCCTTAATAAAGCCTTTAAAGCGTCATGCTTTCGTACACATCGCTGAGGCAGGTTTTTGTTTTTGTTTAATTCCAGAGGCTGCCAACTAGAGCAGCACTTACAGAGATGATTCATGAAATGATGCAGACAAAAAGGGAAGAAGTCACCGCTCTTCCCAAATAAAGGCGGAAAATTGAATCTTGAGCAGTCCTGTAGAAGTTGTGAGGCAGTACCCAATTGCAGGTGACTAACACCACTTCTATTTCTGTATTACAATGTAGGAAGCCAAGGCTGATTTGGCACTTTTGCACAATAAACCTGCTTCTCGCCCTCCACCAAAAATCAGAGGAAAAGAAAGTGATCGGTAAATATACTGGAAGGTAAGTGATGACAAGTGAAAAGCCAGACACAAACAAATTGTTGACCTTTTTTTTAAAAAAAATATTTAAAAATTCCCAAAATTGATAAGCTTTTTTTGCTTTTTTTTTTAAAAGATGCAAAAAACCCACATAATTTTGGGTTATGCTGCTGAAAATCCAGGATGAACGGCCGTTTTTCAGAAATTCCCCAAGGACATCACTTCCGCCATTGTCCATTCTGAGAAAATCCGGACGTATGGCAACCCTAGTCCAGCACTTGAGAAGACATGCACAAATTGCCACAAAGCAAAACCACCAGTAGTGAAACCTCCCTGGATTCATGTCTCAAATCCAAGGCCAGCAACACATCTCCCTGATTCTGTCAGTTTGCAGTTCTTAGTGCAGAAAGATGTGTAGAGATCTTTCCTATTCTATTTAATTCAAGAGGGTTCTGGAAGCTTTTCTGTGTGAAAGGAACAAGCAGAAGGTTCATGATGTTTGGGTTATTTCTTCAGAAAAACTGAGTACAGCTGGCCTAAACTGGTTCTCTTATCTCTTTCTGTCAAGGTCATGCTGACTATAAAAGTAGGACCAGAGGGAACTTGAGTTTCACTTTTTCTTTCTGTCTCTCTTTCTTCTGGTGTTCTGTATATAGTGTTAAGGTTTAGACGTATTATAAGTTTAAGTGAAGTCTGCTGCAACTGGATTTCTTATGGACAGTGCCAGTCCTGAGTGTATTAGATTTGTGACCACGATGCTCATTTGCCTTCAGTAGCAGTAAAGCTCTGCTTGGATGAAATACAATTGCCTCTGGTCTATTTTCATGGGAATCCTGCAATGTGCTTAAGTTTTTACTCTGCTAACTATACATTGGAATCTACTCTGGATCAATACTGAGTAAAATTCAATGACCGATTCATTTCCACCTCCAATCTTAATGTGAGCCACAAATAAATTTATTTCCCATAAGAATACCAGTTACTGGAAACTTCTGCTTTGGTCCTACTTGTGGGTTTCCCACAGGCAACCTATCTGTGAGAACAGGATTTGGATCATCGGTTGGATTTGATGGATCATCGGCCTGATCCAACATGTTCTTCTTATGCTCTTACGTTTTTAAATCGAGGAAAACTATGCAGCTGTAAAGTCTTACATAAAGTAGAACAGAGGAAAAAGAGAGAGACTAGAACATTCTCATGTCAGCAGAACGTTTTTAAAAATTAAAATGAACATTCACAGTGGCCTGACACCCCATGTGTTTGGTCGTATCTGTTTTGAGTCAAAAATCCCACTTGGAGTCTGGCACCATGATCTGAGCCAGAAAACTGGCTGGCCATCTGCCTGCATCTGTCTATATGCAAATGCATGATTCCCCAAGGTAGGAACTTCAGCATCATTTCACTTCATTTTGTAGTTGGCTACAGTGCCTGAGAAGAACCTTATGCAGCTGGTTTTTATGCTGTGTGTGTGTGTGGAAGCTTACAAATTGTTGGTATTTATTATACGCTCATAAAGTTAACTGCCCTGGATTTCGGGTTTGTGGAGGTTCTAGCCAGTTTACAAATATAAGCCCTCATTCTGATTTCCCCAATTTGATTATAGATATTGTGATGAGGGGTGTGTGTGTGTAGGCCTGGAGCCTGGCTTGATTGAATCAGGATGCTAAGACTGGCCACATTCCCAGTTTAGTTCCGGTTATTTTGATGCTATTCTGAAACTCTGGATTGAAAAACCCACCCATCAGCAAGGATTTCCCCCTACTCCATTTTCTTACAAACGATTCTTTAAGACGTTTGCACAGAATTTACTACTTTTGCTTCAGGAAGTTTGATGCCCCTAAAATGCTTAGTCATGTTTACCTATTAGTAAATCAGCCTCCCAAAAGGAAACATTCAAAGAACAGAGAATAAGAACAATGGCAAACTGTTGTCACAAACTGCAGTGTGTAGCTGAATATAGAAAAGAACTTGGAAATATAGGATTATGAGAAAGACCTATTCCAGGATTTATATTGAGGAATAAACTATCCATCACCATGCAGGGTAGAAAAAAATATTGGTAGTATTCATGGAATTATGATGTGATGTTATAAGGCATAGGGAGAAGCTCTTTAGGAGTCACAGCTGAATTTTGCCTAAGATAAATGCTGCGGTTTCCAAAATATTGAAAGAATTTTCAGTGTCGAGATAATACTTAGCTGGATGGGCTCATGTTCTGATCTGACAGATTCCAGTGTTCTTACAGTAGATCATTTGACAGTGTTTGAGCTCAGCAGGGTGTGCTCTGGGCTGTTAGTTGAGGGGAGAGTATCAAACAGATAAATAGCCAAGAAAGCAGAGGAGGGTTTAAGAGCCCAGAAGCAAATTCATCATTGGAACTGTTCAGAAGTTTGACCTCCAAAGTAGAAAACCTAGATTAGCATGGGTCAAGGTCAAAGGCAGCAGTCAGGAAAAGGGAACACTGGTATAAGCAGAAGTCTCATACTCAGGACAATGCTTAGACCAAGGAGTAAGCTCTCAGCTCATTATAGGGCTTGGAGAACAAGGACTGCCCTATGGAGTCAACTGGCATTATGCAAGAAGGCTGGTATTGCAGCCTAGGTTTTGCAACCCTTGAACCACTGTTGGTCTGTCATGTAACCAGGTGAGCAGGAGACAAGCCACTTGATCCTGGCGGTTGGAAGCCTTTGTTTGATGCACACACAGTCTGGTGTTTTGCAGTCAAGGACAAAGAGGTAGAGCCAGAGAACAGCATGCTAGGTCAGAGCCAAGGAGGAATATTGAAATATTGAAACTGAAATACTTTTATTGTCACTTGTACAACTTGTATACAGTGAGATTACATGAGCACCCCCTACTCAGCTCTCTTAGTCTTAATTCCCCTCGTTTGCTGACGCACACCCACCAAACCCAAAAGTCAGTTGTCCTGTTGTTATCTTTTCATTCAGCAGCCTAACAGCCCACAGATAGAAGCTGTTCTTTACCCTGTTGGTGCAACTAATCATGCTTCTATATCTTCTGCCTGAGGGTAGGAGATCAAGAAAGTGCCGGCCAGGATGTGAATCATCCTTGATAATTTTCCTCACTCTCCTGAGGCAATGTTCTTCCACTATTTCATCCAGCGGATTCACGGGACAGCCCATAGTATCTTGTGCTGTATTCGCCACTCTCTGTAGGCACTTCCTATCAGTTGATGTCAAACCAGCGTACCACACAGTGATGCAGTATGAAAGGACACTTTCTATTGTTGACCTGTAGAAGGAGATCATCAAATGTTGATTAACATCGTTCTTCCACAATACTCTGAGGAGATGGAGTCTCTGTTGGGCTTTCTTAACCACCTGGGTTGTATTGATTTTCCAAGTAAGGTCTTCACTGAGATAAACTCCTAGGAATTTAAAGGAAGAGACTGTCTCCACACAGCCCTCCCCGATGTACAGTGGGGCTAGTTCTCCTCTCTTCCTCCGAAAGTCCAAACCATCTCCTTTGGTACGCTGAGAGAGGAATTTAGTGGGCAATAGGCCGAGTCTAGTGGCATGCATTACTTGCTTTTCAGACTGGACAACTGATTATTTGACTGGTTACACTGCCAGTGGTTTTCAACCAGTGTGCTGTGGCACCTTGGGGCGCCTTGATCAGGGGTGCCACAGGCAACATTGGACTCTGTCCCTCTTTCTTTCCCTCCCTCCTCCGATGTCCTATCATGTCTCTGCCCCCCCCATGGCTTGCACAGCTGTTTGTTGCAGCAGCCCTGGCTACAAATTTCTCAGGTGAATTGTGCCTCTGGAGGTGGCCAGAGGGTGCTGGTTGTCAGCAGATGAAGCGGCCTCAGAGTAAGCAAGAAAGTGGGTGAGGAAGCCCAGCCAGCCAGTCTGTCAGCCCTTGTTGTTGAGAATGGACGACAAGTGGGAGACTAGGCAGGCACTATGCTGGCCTTTCTTGTGGTTGCCATGTGCAACCACAAGAAAGCTAAGCGTCCAGGGAGCTAAGCGTCCAGTGCTGAAGGAGAACCTTTCTGCCATGCAGGCCCAGCTGCCTCTCAAGGTGAATAAGGTGCTATCCTCATGCTCACATTTGGCCAGTCTCCATTGGGCTGCTAAGGCTGGGCTCATCTACTTCCCAGGTCCCTGGGGGGGAAGTGTGAAGAGGCACATCTCTTGGGGGCGGCTCAGAGACCAGGGCTGCTGTGGCGGCTGCCCAGAGGACTCCCAAAGAGAGGGGAGAGGTAAGAAAGCTCACAAAGGAGAATGTTCAAAAAGGAGTGAGGGGCTGCCGTCTCTGCAGGCAAGGGGTGACATAACTGGGCTTCTGAAGCTCAGAGCCTGCTACCCCACAGGGGAGCCACAGAAAGAATGTAGTTGGTCAAGGGACTCAAAAAGGTTGAAAACCTCTTTGTTACAGTATTAAAATCCTGGCTTTCGGCAGTACTCTAAAATAAGTCTTCTGGTGGGGGAGATTTCCTCTGGAGTGTCATTAATTTTTGTTGAAGAATCTAAGAACTGACTGAAAATAAAGCTACAAATTATATTCAGCAGTGTTCTGTTAAAGTTCACATGGTGTAAAACCCTTCTCACCATGAAAAAACTGTGAAAAGCTTTCCAAAATAAACCTTTTAATGATTATAGTCGACATTTCTGAGGTGACAGCCATCTGGTAGGATAAGTGACAGCAGTATCCATGTCTTCTGTATAACAGGTTTTGTCAATAGCCCCCTCTTTAATTTTCAATAATATTGCTTTGAAGAAGATGGAAGTCTCCTCTTCCAAACTTTGTATTGGATCTTGGAGTTGTGAATTTGTTTCCAATGGGAAATTATGCATTAGGAATATACCATAGTTTCCCTTTTTTTTGCTTCTCAATTTTGTACACGCACAGCCTGCTTTCAGCCACTGCAAGTTAATTTGTAGTTTCTCTGCATACGTTTTTAGCAAGATGAAACAACCATCACAACCATCTTTCCACTTGCTCAGATGCTGAGTTCTGTAACCTTTAACTTACTGAAGGAACTTATTATCTGACTGTGTAATCTTAGGTGTGTCTGTTCATTGAGTTTCAGTGTGATTTATCCTTAAGTAACTGCGGATACAACTGCTCTTCCCCAACCACACTGTACCACACTGCTGCTCATACATTCTACACTTTCCTGCCAATTGTGGCTGCAGCCACAGTCACGCCCGTTGGCTCCATCACAGTACAAAAATATTGCCAAATGTGAGCAAACAACCAATCAGAGAAGGGAATATAGTGATGCATAACCTCAGCATCACCCTGCAGGGAATAATTTCCAGCACTTTGCACAAAAAAAGGTAGGGAGCCTTACAGTATTGTAGCTAGCTATCAGAATTAAGATTGCTGGAAGAAAT